GCCCGGAGCCCAGGAGGCCGCCTCCCTGCTCACTGACATCGCCTGGACCGCGCCCGCCCCCGCTGGTCGCCTGGGGACCCAGCGCCCTGTCAGAAATGACGCTTTCCCTGGACTAAGGGAGCGCCGTCCGCCCCGCCCCGCCCCGGTTCGCCCCGGTGGGAAGCGGGGAACAGACCGTCATGTGGGCAAGTGGGGGGCTGACGGTCTCCCCCGAGGCCTGGCGGGCGCTGAGCTCCAGACCCGCGCCGGGCACGCGTGGGTCTCGGCCCTGACAGGACCGGAGCCGGGACAGTGAGGAGGCAGGAGCTGGAGCCCTGGGAGAGCTGGCCAGGCCCTCGGGGTGGCGGAGGCGGCGCAGGGCTGGCCCAGGGCCCTCTGCCTGCCTGGCGGTGGCAGAGCGACGCGCGGAGCTTCTCCGCTGGCCCTGTGGCCGCACAGCTCGGGCTCTGTGCTGCCGTCCTCCTGGAGCTGCTGCCGGGTGTGCCGCGCGGTGCCGTCTCCCGCCTCCCTCCAGCGGCCCTTCTGGGCATGTCTCCTAAGGGCCTGGGTCGTGTGGAAACGGGCAGCTCTGGGCCGGAGCAGTGGTGGGCATCTCAGGACTTGCCAAGAGCGTGGAGCCCTGTCCGGAACAAAGAGAACCACCTGCACTCAAGTTCCCTGTGAGTCACTGGGGCGACCAGACACTTCCAGGAGCACCTGCAGTGGCTGTTTGGGACAGAGGCTCTCTGGGTTGGCAGTGGTCTCCTGAGAGATCTGGCTCTGCTTTTCTTCCCTAGTGTCTGTGCTCGTGGGGTGGAGGCAGGGGCCTGGAGAGGTCAGCTGTGTCTCGTCCACCCTGGAAGGAATCCCCTGGAACACCGCTGGGCATCATGAGGCTGATTGTGCTGAAGCTGCAGCTCATGTCTCATTATTAATCAGGTTTATTATTTTCCTCACTGACTGGATGTGTTCATCAAGGTCATGACCCTTTGGAGAGTTAATCTAATAAGCACACATTACGGTGTCTGGGTTTGTTTGATTTTCCATATTTTGTTTATTTCTTGTGGAGTGAGCCTTCTGTGTGGAGCCGTGGCCTGGGTGTAGTCATCAGTTTCTGCCTGCCTCACTAGCTTTGTCTCCCACTCTTCCTCTGGACCTGCTGCCTCAGACCAAAGGCAAGGCTGGCCGCAGAGCTCTGGGGAATACCTGGTGGGGAAGAGGCAGGGGTTAGTGGAGAGGGGTTGAGAGGAGATTCTGGTTATTTTTTGTGCTTTCCCCATTCTCCCCTCTAAGGCCATCTTGATCATTGGCTAACATTTTCCCCAGCACTGAAAGTTCTTCCCAGAGACTAGGTCAACTTTTTGGTCCGGCTTTCCAGTTTGATTTTCCCTGAGGATGGTGAGGGAACTTTTATATAGTGGGAAAGAAGCGGAGGCTCCAGGGAGGTCCCAGCTGCTGGGAAGCAGGGGCTCTTGGAGAGCAGGCCTCAGCCACCTCTGATGTGCTCTCTGCCCCACCACGATGGAAGGAAGGGGTGAAGGGGAACTATTGGGAAAACAAGAGGAGCAGTAAGGAGGAAGAGGAGGGAGCCCGTGTTGTGTTGCTGGTGGGGCGGGCAGTGGTGTGGAAAGTAAGCATCTTGTTATTCATGCATAGTACTAATCCTTTGTGTGTGTATGAGCCACAGGTTTTGTTCCCTGTTGATTTTCAGAGAGAGTGAAAGGGAGGGGAAAGGGGGAGAGAGAAACAGCAATGTGAGAGAGACACATCGATTGGTTGCTTCCCACACACAGCCTGACCCAGGGGGCAGGGATCCAACCTGCAACCCAGTTACGTGCCCTTGACGGAAGTCAAACCTGTGACCCTTTGGTGTACAAGTCATTGCTTTCACCATCAAACCACACCAACCGGGGCAAAGTTCCACAGTTTTCCAAATGCTTTTTAGAAACACTACTTTATTTGATTTCTACTAGGAACCTACCAGTATTTGATCTGCACTACCACCCTGTAAGGAGGTGTTATTGATTCCCAAGAAACCGAGTCTCCTACAGGTTAAATGACTTCCAAGTCTCTGCAGCCACACCCAAGGCCTCTGGACACCCAGCCCAGTGGTCTTTTGCTGCTACTTGTTGCTTCTAAAGCTGTTCATCCTCCCCTCTCCCCATCCCATGCTTCAGTTCCTCTTCATGCTTTCCCATGTCAACTCAACACTTTTTTCTCCCTATGGGGCTGAAAGGTTGGCTTCCCAACCCTACCCAGGGTCTGGGGTCTAGCTAATTCTTGGTTCTGCATTCTCTCAGCCCTTAGACTGGCTGCCCCAGCACCCAGGATCTCCCACCACCCTAACCCTAGGCAGCTGTCTCTCTTTACTTGCTCTTGCAGAAGGAGTTCCAGGTTCTCCAAGGCATGATGCCTGACCCCTGGGACCTCTGGGCACCTTCTTCCCTTGCCTCCTCACCCCACTCTGCTATCTTTATTACTTCAGTCCTCTCAGCTCTTTTGAGGACTTCTGGTGCCCTGTCTGATCTTTCCTTTCCTACTGCCACTGTCCTCACTTCGGGCTTTAGTGGTCTACCCCTGGGTTATGCTAACACAGTGTCTTCCCTGGGCAGCCTGAGGCCACACCTGCCTTCCTGCAAATAAAGATGCTTGTGACATGTGAACCAATTCAAGAGCCCTCAGTGGTCCCCTGGGGTACTGGATAGAATTCCCACGTAGCAGCTTGGAGGTTCAGGCCATTCACAGGCTGGCCCTAGCTTTATGCCTCTGGATGAGACCCTCTGCCCACCTTCATACCACCAGGACTGTTTTCTTTCCTCCTCCTGGGAACTACACCCCCAATCAGGTTTTCCCAGCAGGGAAAACCTAAGCTTTTATCCCTGTGTAACTCCCTGAGTGACTTTGAACAAATTGCTTAACGTCACTTGCCTCACCTGTAAAATGGGGATAATCTCACCTGCTTGAAAGGATTGTTTCAGCAAGAATGTGAGTGGATGGGAATGCCATTTGTCAATGTAAGGGGCTTCCCAGCAGGTGCCCACTTAGCACCCCTGAGTGGGCTCCTTCCACCTGCCTCTTTTTTTTTTCTAAACATATCTTTATTAATCTCAGAGAGAGGAAGGGAGAGGGAAACAGAGAAATAGAAACATCAATGATGAGAGTCATTGATCAGCTGCCTCTCGCATGCCCTCGACTGGGGATCGAGCCTGCAACCTGGGCATGTGCCCAGACCAGGAATCGGACCACGATCTCCTGGATCCCAGGTCGACGCTCAACCACTAACGCACAGCTGGCCGGGCTCACCTGGCTCTTTGTGGCAATATTTTAGCTTCCTGCTCTTGCCTGCTGTTGATAATCATCTACCCCTGTTTGTCTCCTTACCCAGAAGGCAAATCCCTTGAGGAGCAAAGCCTTTGCCTGGTGCCTTTTCGCATCCTGGGTTCCTAACCAAGCAAATACTGTCCTTCTACATCCCATAAACTGACCCCTGCTCATAGTGGGAACATACAAAAATAGTTGTTAATTGATTATAACATTTGGTTACATAAAATAGGGTATGCTTTATATTTAGCAAATCCAATGTAAAAAAACTTACACAACTGTCTCAGCTGAGGTGAGTTACGGGAAGGAGGAAGGGAATCAATTTAACATTGCATTGTCTGAGCACTCTGCTTATTTCACTCAGTCATCCCAGCTTCCCCATGAGTTAGATGGAAGCATCTCCTTTTTTACAGATGATGGAAGGGGGGCCATAGGAGGCCCTGCAGTGGGATGCCCTGTGCTACTTCACAGATTGGAGCAGTCCAGAACCCCAGCTCCTTCCCCTATTCTTGGGCCTGAAAAAGGGAGGTAGAGGCTCTTTATCAAAAGATTCATCGTAGGTTTTATTAAACTACAGAATCCATTAAATGTAAGTACATCATTTACACACGGCCCCGCAGGGATTGCCTAGGTAGGAGCACCTTCGGCAGTGGATCATTTGCATGGAGAGCACAGGCGGACACACCCAGGACTGGAACACGAGGTGTGTGTGGTTGTGCACTGGTCACCAGCAAAGATGGGGCTGGAACTCAGTGACCGGGGGAAGGACTTCATGGGTGAGGAGGGCTGCACAGGCGGTGGGGGCAGGGGATGTCCTGAGGATTGGGTGAGGTAAGGGAAGGAAGGTCTTTGGTGGGCAGGGGTAGGGCAGAACTAACTGAACTCAGGAGGACCTTGAAAGCCAGAGAGAAGAGGTTTAGGTTGACACATTGGGTTTGGGGACATGCTGAGGATCCTTGGGCAGAGGAGTGTAGTGCCAAGAGGAGTTGAGGGCTGGGGTGGAAAGGGTGCGGGGGGAGTGGCTGAAGGCAAAAGGGAGTGCATTGAGGAGTACATTTCCAAAGGAGAGAACACACTGACAGAAGGGAACTAGCAGATGGAACAGGAAGTGTTAGGAGAGAACTTTGAGATTTTGAGCCCTGGAGGCAAAGAATGTGACGCCACTTTCAGAAATGGGGAAGCCAGAGGTGAAGCATGTCTGAGGGAAAGCTCTTAAATTTGTTGCACACATGCTGTGAGGGAGGTGACTGGAGCATCTTGGGATGGGGCCTGGGTGGCCGGTGAAGTTCCTAGACAGCAGGTGAGAAGTCTTGTGTGAGGGTGTGCTGCAGAGGGGGCTGGTTCTAGGCATTTCTGATGACTGAATTCTACCTCCACAACCTCTATGAGCCCTCTCTGCTCTCCCCTCATGGCACTGGGACCCCTGTGCCCAGTCCTCACTGCTCTTAAAGTTGCTCACCTGTGTCTGTCCCCTCCAGGGGACCTGGAGTGGAGCTTCTCTGAGAGGGCCAGGAACCCACACGTGCTTTGCTCAAGGTCAGCCCTGTCCCAAGTGTCTTGCACAGAGTAGGTATTCAATAAATATCTTTCTTATTTAAGTGACCTCAGCTCATGCTTAACAAATGTTTGTTACAGAGATAAATGCATAGAATGTGGATGTAGGGCGGGGGAGGGCTATTTGGACCTTCCTCCGGGAGTGGTGTGCCCTGGGGTCCTTCTAAAGATCGCACTTTTTTATTGCTATGACTCTTTTATCTCCTTTATGTCTACCCACAAAGTGCCAGCTTCTGTATCCAACCATTTCTTAGGGTTGGGGAGTGAGTCCACAGCCTTTCAGTTGTCACTCAATCCTGAATTTGAGGCTGGCCTGCCATTCATTGTGAAAGGTCCTGGGCAGGTTCCTGACCCCTGTGAGCCCCTGCCCTCACCTGAAGTCAGCCCTGCCCTCGCCTGTATGTCAGTCCTGCCCCTCACCTGAAGTCAGCCCTGCCCTCACCTGAAGTCAGCCCTGCCCTCACCTGAAGTCAACCCTGCCCTCACCTGAAGTCAGCCCTGCCCTCACCTGTGTGTCAGTCCTGCCCTCACCTCCTGAAGTCAGCCCTGCCCTCACCTGGGAGTCAGCCCTCATGGCCCTTCCTTCTCCTCAGGCTTTTCTCAGGGAGAATTTGCTCAGAGGAAGCAGAGGAAACCAGATGGTGGTGGTTATCTGTCTTTGGGGTGCTGGGGGTATTTTGGTCAAAGAGAGGCTGAAATGGAAGCCAGAGTATGCACAGAGTCTTGGGGGCTTCTTTGGGTGGGAGGGGTATGTTGTGGACCAGTGGAAGAGAACTGGCTTGGAATCGGGAAATCCAAGCTACTT